GGGGGTAAGAGATCAACCGAAGGACTTGTATGCATGCATATAAGCATAACCAATGGACATAAGACACTGGGGGGTAGGGGAGGCCAGGGGATTGTCAAGGGCGGGGGAAAGAAAAGGACACATATGTAATACCCTTTGTAATATTTTAAGCAATAAAAAAATTTAAAAAACAAACAAAACAAACAAACAAACAAAAAAAGCATTTTTATTGTTCAATTTTTGTGCCTGTGTTATTTATGAGAATAGCATTAAAAACCAGTAAACATTTCTAAAAGGAAAAGTTTTGTTTACAATGATAATAGTATTTACTAGCTTTGTTATTCAATATTATATTATGTGGTACCATGAAAATGTACCTAGCTTTGGTTTTCTTGATGTTTCTCAAATAAGACAACTTGATTGCAAGTTTTCTAATATTATATGATAGCAAAGGACATGTCACTAAAAATGAAGTTTTTTTGCAATGGTTGATTTTTAGAAAAACTTTTCAAAGATTCTATCACCACACTCTGGAAGCACAAAATGAGAGGCTTGGAATGACTGTGTAGAGCTGGAAGGAACTTAGAGGTCACCTAATCCGAGCCCTTCATTTTAGAAATGGAGCAACTGACACCCACGAGGCTGTGGGACGTGTCCAGGGCCACGCTTGGACCTGAGAGGAAGATGGATGTCTTTCATAACATTCTGTAATCATCCTGGAGGGCAAGAACCGAGCTGACACATTAGAGACAGAAAAACATGCAGCAAACATTCCCAATAACTAAATGTCAGTGGAAAGGATGTTCTGCACAAAGCAAGGTGCAGTTCGTGCTTTGTATGGAAGTTAGAAGACTGTGCAGTGTATTCACAAGAATGTTCTTAAAAATGACTGTGTCTTTACAATGACTGAGGACTAAGAAAACCAGATGTTTTTAAGCAAATTTAATGTTTTCAAAGTCTGTTAATTGGCTGATTTCTTTTTCGCACCAAAGAACAAAAATACAATAATCAAGTATAAGAAATACTTGCTTTTTAAGAAACTGTTAAAAGCAATGGGCCCAGCCTTGGCCGGTAGCTCAGTTGGTTAGAGCATCATCCCAATGTGCCAAGGTTTTGGGGCCATACCCAGTGTGGGCACATACAAGAATCAACCAATGAATGCATAAATAAGCGGGACAACTAATCAATGTCTCTCTCTCTCTCTCTCTCTCTTCCTATAATCAATAATTAAAAATATCTCTCTAATCAATAATTAAAAATCTATAATCAATCTATACTCTGTGGGGGAGCATGGGAGACTTGGTTGGAAAGTTTGTAAGGAGGAAAATTCCGAAAAAAGGATTGGGCTGAAGGCGGCCCTCCCTGTTTATCGGAATTCTGACTTAGGGGAGTTTGGCTGAAGGCGGCCACTCCTAATTGTTCCTTGACCTGTGCACGTGTGGACCCTCGGGTGTTTACCAGACTCTTTATGCTTAACCTTTAGGTGCCCTTGCTTAAAGGCCACTGCAGACACAAGTGTCCTCCCAAGAATGCTAACCCTACTGATTGTATCTAAAGGATAAACTTTACCTCAAACTGCTAGTACAGTAAAAGCCTGAAGAGGCAGGCTAACGAGGCTGTTTGGTTCCTGTAGCCAAGCAGTCCCTCAGGCCTCTCTTTCACAGCAATCGTGTGTCAGAGTAATCGTTCATCCATCACTCAGGGTCTGCTGATCAGCCCCAGCAACACTCAATCAAAATCTATAATCAATAATTAAAAATTTATCCAATCAATTATCCTATGTAATAAAAGCTGAATATGCTAAGTGTCTGGTCGTCTGGTCATCCGTTCAACCAATCAAAGCATAATATGCTAATGACATGCTAAGGCCGCTCAACCAGTTGCTATGACATGCACTGACCATTTCAAATGTTACTAAATTATTCTCCGCCCTCAGCCTGGGGAAAAGAGATTCTGAGTGAGCTCGAGAAGGCTGCCAGCAGAGGACAGCATCGCACAAGGGGCAGGAGGAAACTGCGGCCTGGCTAGCACCGCCTCATCCCGGGGAGGTTGCCAGGGACGAGAGGAAAAAGACAACAGTGGGGCAGCTTCCCTGGAGTGTTAGAAATGGAAGTCAGAAAACTGCAGAGAGAAATGGCAGCCATTTGAATAAACATTTAATTTAAGAAGTTTATAGGTGGAATGTGATAGACAAATGTGATGCTATGGTGACTGATTTCTGACGCGAAAATTTGCAAATAACTGTGGTCTGTTCAATGCAAGGGTGCTTGTAGATATGACAGGATACCATATGTGGAATGGATCATTGTTTTGGAAAATTCCAGACTTATGGCCTCATAGAATAAAAGACTGGGACTTAGAGCTTTAGTGCCTTGTTCAGCCCCCCCAACTTCCCCTCAAGGCAGGAGCTCTGGGTCAGCAGCAGATGGACAAATGAGCCTGCTGGAGGCTAAAGCCAACAGCAGTTAACATATTAATGCAAAAAGAAAACACTAGAAGGTCAATGGACTTTGATATTCAGCAGGGCTGAAAAATCAGCATAATACTGCCCTGCTGTGGGCTCAATGGCTCAAGGCAATTTCCTAACCTGATAATCTTTATACTGTTTACCAAACTTCACCTTTGGTCTGCCTATATGCATTACTAAAGGGCAAATGTGTATTCAAGTAAATAAAAAGCGGACCAGGCGAGAAGTTGAGAAGTCGGTGTGCCTCTTCAAGAAAGAGGTCTCCACCTGGCTCCCAATGCCTTCTAAAGTCATATTTCTTGTATAACATTTTCATTTGTGCATCAGCCCCTCCTTCAGATCCTGAACCCCGCCGCCAAGGTTGTGGGGGCAGGGGGAGAAGGGGCTGGAGAGATCATATTGTTTTTTAAAAAAGGAAAAAGCCAGAGAATGGCTGGCTGAGATGAGTGGGGTAGAATAAAGAAAAGGGACACAGAGAGTGCAGAGGGATGCTCGTTTTGGCAGAGCAAGTTGACAAGACTCACTAATTCGAATATGGGCAAAGGATAGACTTATGAGTGATTTTTCATTCCCTCTGTGCTTTTCTGTGTTTCCAAAGTTCTGCACTGAGCACTTCTGAAATTAGGGAGAAAGCTAAATAGTTCATGTTATCTTTGTAAACACTTCAAGGATAGGAGTCAAGATACCTTCTGTCCTGGGTTGCCAATCTCGTCCATCACCACTCGGATCTCCTCCTTCTTTAACCAATATGGAATGACTGCAGCCATCATCTTGATCAAACTCCTGCAATATCATAAAATAGGAACTCAGTTATTCAGTGTGCTACTTTTTTGGGGGGGGAGGGGGGCAGAGTGAATGTTGACTTTTCTAGGCTAAAGTTTCACACTGCGGATTCCTTTTAAATAAAGTATTTAGGACTAAAATAATGGGAAAGTGTCTGCCCCCAAGAGCACCAAGCTCAGACAGACATGGATGTGATTAATTACATAATCAAAAATGACGATCAAAGCCGAAATCACATAGACACATAGAAATTCAATATTTTATACTTTATCATGTCGGCACCAGGCTTCTAAGCTGCTACAAATTCCATCTGGGTGGGTAACTGGAAAAAAATCCTTTGGCCGCAGTCACAGTGAGCAACCCCAAAGGAAATGGTCTTTTCCATCTGCCTCCTTGGGGCATCATTTACAAATGCGGAGGGTGGAAATCCCTGCCCCATATGGAAGCTGCCCGAAGGACTCTAGACTGAAAGGAGGCAGCAAAGCCGATTAAAGTTTCACTCGGCCAGCTTTCTGATCCAATCATGGCACGTCTCCTTTTTACCCTCTAGGAAATAATCATTATGCTGAAAAACATGTTTGAGAACCAACTTGACTTATAAAAAGTTCTCCAAACTCTCTAAAGAAGAAACGCTCTCTTGTTGGAATTCACCGATATGGGTAGGTTCCCTCATAGAAGTACTTGCTGGTGATTTTGCCCTTTTTAATGCCTAGAACAGTGACAGATGCAAGTAGTAGTTACAATATCCCATCACAAGCTGGATACGATCATTAGCTCCCTGGCTTCTCTGACCCGGGTGACCAGCTATGTAAGGAGACTGTTGGATGAAAAGGCTTAGCCCTGCATGCAGGTGCCTGTCGGACAGGCAGGCAGAGTATCGCAAAGCTCTGTCATTCATTACTTGCCAAGGGAGCCTTTTTATTTTCTCACTTTGTTCATTTAAATTATCATAGAAAATGATGAAAGTAAAACCCTTATTTATACTGCTACTAACAATATTTTAGGTCTTCAACCATAATAATTTAGTTGCTATACCTTACTTTGATGCAACAAGTCATGCTTTTAAAAGTATTTTCTTAGCAGGTGGGAGACCTGTACTGGCTCACCCTGGTCCTAGACTATTGTCAATTTCACTGCTCACCCTTCTCTGCATTTCAAAAACCCTACCACTATCTGGCAAATTTCTTCTTCCTCCCATCCAATTACAAAGGGGGGAGGGAGATCCTATTTTTAGAATATATGGAAATACACAATAGTCTTTTTTTAAAAGCAGAAGAAAAATCACCCATAATCCTACAAATAAAAAGCAAACGTTATCAACTGTTATTGCCATTTTAAAACATTAATTTAATTATATTTCCTTTGTCTTTTCCTAAGAATTTAAATATATAGTTGCATCCTATAATTTTATATCTTAAGATAAGCATGAATTACACAGCAATTTACTAAGCAAATGTCATTTTAATGGAATTTAAAATTTCTTTCCCTCAAAAAAATACCTACCAGGGGGTCATAACAGCCCATGAATCTTATAACATTAGCGCTATATGCTTATTAGGCAGTTTTCAATTCTTCTTATTACATACAGTGCTGGGAACATCTGTGCAATTAATACCCTAATTTTGCATTATTTATTTAAAGTAGATTCCTGGATATGGAATTATTGATCCAAAGAGTATGAAAATTTTTAAGATTTTTTTTTACACACACAGTTTTAAAAGTAAAGTTTACACTTCACCAGCTGTGCATGAGTGTGTTCCATTCCATCTTCTCCCTTATCAGTTATCATCACTTTTCATTTGTAGTGATGCAATATGTAGAATCAGTTATCTTAGTATTATTCGAATTGCATACTTTGATTAGTAGAAAAGTTGGAGATAGTTTCAGATGCTTATTGACCACTGAATTGTTTTAGTATAGATAGTCTTTGTTCAGATCCTTAGGCTACAACATTCTATGAGACCTCCAAATATTTTTCTACCATTTCACATAATTACAATGATTCAATGAAATTTTTGTGCTAAACTTTGGAAAATAGCAGTCCTCATGTGGAAGTGTTAAAGATACAAGTGGTTCTCACGCCAGGTTTCTGTATTGATTAATGGGCTGTGATCAGCCTCAACTGCTCAGTTCATCAGTAGTTGGTCCTTTAGGAAAAGCTGGAAGATGCAGAGTGTGGGAACACCTACTTACGAAATCCTTAACAATGACTAGCATTTACGCATGTAGTGCCAGACACTGTCCTATGCACCTACACATATGAACTAATTTAATCCTCACAACAGCTCTAAAGGCAGGAACTCTTTCCTTCTTTTTAAATGAGACCCAGAGAAGTGAAGTTACTTACCAGGTCACATAGCTAGCCAGTGGTATTGCCAGGAATCACACCCAGACTCAGAAGTCTGGTTCCAGACCTCTTAACAACTCTGCTTTCTTGCTACCATGAAAAGTTCAAAACAAAGAATCTCAACAAAAACCAGAAAGAAGATAAAAAATAACAATGAGCAAAAATTTTTTTAAAAGGATCCTCAAACCTAATTTATAAGTTTTGCACAGGAAAGAATGAAAAATGTGTTACCTACAAGTGCCTGACACACACAAAAAATGTCTTTTTAAAATAAACTGAGGAACCATAAGCATCGCAAACAAAGGATGTAGAGAATGATATTTACTTTGAAGGTTTTCATGGAAGTGAAGACTCCTACAGAAAGAGCTCAGAATTTTTAATTCCTTTCAGAATGCTAAATCTGAAAGACTTTAAGATGTGCTCCGGTGCCACAAGGAAGAGAACGGAAATAATGGCATTCAGTTGTGAGGGAAGGAGAGAAAATGTTAGACTAGCACATCCCAGACACACATGGATTTCATAAACCATTGACAACAATGCAGGAGGTGACGACAGGCTAGAAATAGGACAGCATTCTCATCTACAAACAGCAGAATGCTAAACACACAAAAGAGAAAGAGGCATAGAAATCATACATAATTAAATTTAGAAAGAAGATTCTTCTTAGATGAAAAAAGATTGGGAGAGTCTATAAAGAGCTTCTAGGAGTGATCCTGCAAGCAAGGCAGCTGCTTCTATTTGTCAACTATAAAAACCTCTGCAGACAGCCAGAAAGAAAAGAGCTTTCACTCACAGAAAAGAAGCGAAGGATGACCTTCGGTTTTGCACTTGAAACCCCAGGGAAAGCGCTAGGGAAGAAAAGGCAAGTTCAACAGTGAAAGAGTCTGTTTCTCAGAAATGAGTTCAGAGTTACTTTAATCACAATAAGAAAAAATATAGAAGGAAAATTCAATAAACATTTTAAAGTTGCACACAAAAAAGGGTAATACCATAAATGGATTTTTTGGCCTTTTCAAAAAGAAAATTGCTTAAATATACCATAAAATATTAAAAGTAGCCCAGCCAGCGTGGCTCAGTGGTTGAGTGTCAACCTAGGAACCAAGAGGTCATGGTTCAATTCCTGGTCAGGGCACATGCCCAGGTTGCGGGCTGGATCCCCAGTAGGGGGTGTGCAGGAGGCAGCTAATCAAAGATTCTCTCTCATCATTGATGTTTCTCTCTCTCTCTCCCTCTCCTTTCCTCTCTGAAATCAATACAAATATTTTTAAAAAATTAAACGTAAACCTGTTTTGTTTATCAATTTCTAATCCATGACATTTTCAAGATTGGTCTCTAGGTATTTTATGTTAGGTCTGATCAACTAATTGAATCGGTACCCCTCCCCTGGGAACTGACCTTTAGGCCACTTCACAATGGGCATTCCACTTGCTTAGACCACATTCCACTTGCTAAGACCATGAGCTCTCCCCTCCGGACTTTCCCAGAATCCAGACCTGCACAGATAATTCTCCGCCCAGAAAAAGCCTGCCTGCAGTCCTTAAAACCTCTGACTCCCCACCTTTGGGGACTGGCGCCATTTTGGGGCTCAGCCCATCTGGGTATCCAGATGACCTAATAAATTCATAATCCCTTACCACTTTGGCCACGTGCATTCCTCCTTGGGTGACCCTAACATTTTATTTCAATTACTATGTTATATTAGTAACCAAAACCAATGCAACCTTCAGTTCTGAGACAAAATCCACCACATAGCAGGTTTTCTCAGCCTCAGTGCTATTGACATTTGTGGCTGGTTAGCTCCTTGCTGTGGGACCTGCCTTGTGCATTGCAGATAGTTAGCAACATCCCTGGCCTCTACCCACTACATGCCAGTAGCGCCTCCACCCCAGTTGTGACATCAAAAATGTCTCTAAACATTGCCCAATGCCCCCCGGGGGACAAATCACTCCCTCTTGAGAACCACTGTACTGAAGGAACTTTAAAAAGAAATACTCTAACCTGTTTAGAAAAGTTATAAATGAACAAAGCTAAAATATTCATGTAGTATTAAAATAAAAGTTTCCATTCTACCTCATCCCATCCCATGTCCCAGAGGAATCCTTATTTAACCATTTCTGTATTTTAATTTTTAATCAGTGCAAACAAATTGAGCTCATCCTTTTAATTTTCATCAAGTTTTACATTCTAGTCCAAGAAAACTGTGCTTTTACAAGCCTTTAACCATCACCCTACTCCATGCTTTACCCTCCCTGCCCTTCCCGCCCGCCTCAGTTAGCAGTCTGTTTGCTAAGTCCCCCCATACAAATTCCTGTGCCTTTACTTACACAACAACATCCCCATACACAACACATAGTATTGTTGTGGGTTTTTCTTTTTGATGCAAATGGTATCACACGCTACACATAAATTTAACCAAGGCATAGTTTTCTGCAGTATGGATATACCATAGTGGGTTTTTCTTTGCTTATTTTAATTTGTATCAAGCTTGACATGTGTTTTTTTTTTAAGTTGACATTATTAAAAAGTCAGATAATGGTAAGAGACTTATATCAAAAAGGTCATCAGTTTGCTTACCCACCCTTCCCAGGCTTTAACCTTTTCTTTTGGTATTTTCTTCCATATTTCTAGAAAACATTTATTCTGCTATCTCTCG